GCAGGGCAGTTCTTGAGAAAAAAGCAGTTATGCTCTTGAAAAGCCAGGATTTGAAGCAGTGCTATGTTAGGTGCTGAATGAGGCATATCAAAATACACAAAGATGGAAATTAAAAGAAGGAAAAAACCAGGGTATCTAGCTTTGCTGCCTCCCATCTGGAAAGATTGCAGAGCCTGTGCTGTATCCCAGGGTCTGTCATGCTGTATGACCTTAATAAAGAAACTTTATCTCAAAGTTCCCAAGGTCTTACATTTGTAAAACAAGAACAATATGCAAGGTTCCCTGAGTTCTGTGAATAAAAAGGTACTGAATAAATTTTTTTTTAGTAGTAATAACAACAACAACAACAATAATAATAATAATAATATACATGATAAGAATTTATTTGTTTTCTCTGTAATTTTAGTTCAGACAGAATTATGTCTATTTTTCTGTGAACAGTGCTGTAAGATACAGAAAGTTGTAAAGATACAAAATTACAGTTTCTCTGAAGGTATTGCATGGGCACAACCTGTAAAGATTATGGAGTTCTTTGCTTTTTTCTTATGTGTAGCATATTCCATAGCAGTAAAGTATTTTCAGATCAGTGCTTTTCAGCAGATGTGTTTAGCACTTTCCCAGGAAATGATCAACAAATAAAACACACTGAGAAAGGAAACTAGCATTTACTTTCTGTTTTTGAAGGTGGCTTGTATTTTGCAAAACAAGATGGAAGGGGCTAGATCTCCCATAGCATTAGCATCTAAAGAACAGTGTGTCTTACACTGAGCTAACAGTGGTGGAATATAATAGATAAGAAGAGCTATATTTTTTATTTGTACCTTTGCATTTCAATTATTGTTGTTGTAGCTGACTCTGAGGCAGATTGGGCATAAAGATATGCATGGTCATCGCTTGGAATCATGTCTTGTCTCTCAATGAGTAATCTCTTTCCTATCACTGTCTCCTTTTTAGTTTCACTGGACCAAATAAAATGAAGTGCATTCACTTTGAAAACCTTAAGTTTGCTCTTAAAAGTCTCTAGATTTGGGAAAAAAGCCATAGCTGGCTTGTTTAATGAACAATCCTTGGCTGCAATTCCTCATTTCAAAACCTGCCTTCTTTCAGCACTGTCAATGAGCTCAAAGGGGCCAGGCTTGGGCCGATAACTGTGATGCTCAGTGGAACTCGAGATATGCATGTAAATTATATTTATGGTTGTTGCTTTTTCCTTCTTTGGTACAAATATGATGAATATTTACCATCTTTAAGCTGGTTGGAAGCAAGCAAAATAACAAGGTTACAACAGAGACAGAATTTTTTTCAATGTGGAGGAAGTCTTGGAGTTTCCTAAATATTTGGAGGAGGAGTACTTCCTTCCTGAAACTTCAGGATATAAATGAAGGCTTACTGGGCTGTGTATCCCTTGACTCTTGCTAATTTTACCTCAGAATTTAAGAGGTGCTACAGAAATAAGTGTGACCAGAGAACCACAATGCTTCTCAGAAAGTAGTGTTTTTGAGATGTGACACAGTCCATTTTATGTCATCCTGGGAACCCTGCTAAAGCAGGGAAGAGCAGAGTCCTCCATCACAAATGCATAAAATGGGCTGAGAATGGATTATAAAGGTATATCTTCCACATCACTAAATTATTCTCCTCTTTCCTACCCATTGCCTCTATATCAGAAACATTGCTGGAAATACATCTGGAAAATTAGCAAAATGTTTGTTTTACTTCTTTTCAAAGTGTTTTCATGGTTTTAGGTGAGTGTTTGACTTATGTTCATTGGCCCTTGCACAAGAGACTGAAAGCTATTTCCTTTTTCCTTAATTAGAGCATGTAGAATATCAGGTTTCTGAGCAGTGAATTTCCTTTCAGGAGATAGGTGAGCGTATGTGGTAGAAGTAGTTGTTTTTCTAAACCTGAGAATTTTGTCCTGTATTTTATAGATACTATCTTAAGCCAAACATGTACTTTTCATACAGACAGAAGTGCAATTTTTTTTCCTTCCTTTTATTCCCCACCTTCCCCTTTTTTTTTTTTTTTTTAATGAAATAGAGAAGTGGGAAGTTAGAAATATCTGAGGGAATTTCTAGGAGGGTGGCCATAGGAATGTGGTGAAGGTAGCAGCCCAACCCTGTTTGTGTGTGTAACTTGATTTTGAGTCTGCACTGCTGGTGCTGTTGAGAAAGGGGAAAAAAAAATTAAAGTGGAGAGATTGTGTGCAGTTTTTTAAGGTCATGTATTTTTATATCTGCTGTCTTGTCTGTGTGGGTGGGCAGGTATGAGTCTTGGTCTGTCTTATGCAATGTCAGAGGGAAGTTCAGGTCGGTGTGGTGCTGGGGCCAGCCCACATCCTCCACCCACACAGGCCCATGAACAGTGGCACACATCAATCAGGGAAAACCCTCAGCCCCTGGCACCACTGGAACAGGTGTGTGGGCTCACGGTGACATCAGATGACTGTCACATTGGCATGGGGCAGCCACCAGTGCCTGGCCCATGTTCTGTGTACATCAGGTCTACCTCCTGAAATCTAGGCTGTGGTGCAGCTTCCAGCACTCAGACCACCTATAACTATCCTTTTCTCTCACACGTGCTTTGGGGTAGAACAGATGGAGAGAAGAATGAGGAGAATGATTTTACAAACTGTTGCAGATCTCCATATAACACCCCCTGCAAAATGCCATGCTCTTTAAGGTGTCAATAAACAGAGGGAGAGAGGGAAAACCAAGGCTTTGTCCAGCCAAAAGCAGAGTTGGCTAGATCAGTCATGACCAAAACTTCGGAAAGTTTTTGAAGCACAGACAGTTCTTTTTGCAGGAAAAGTTCCTGCAGAGCTACTGCTTTCATGTCCATTTAGTGCTGTTTTGGTTTTTTTTTAAGCACCAATATTACCCCTTGTTTTTATTCCTTGAAAGGTAACCCAGAATAAATGCAGACTAATCCTACCCATCCCTCTTTATTTTGCTGTCTCAATGTTTTGAAGTAGTATACCAACACCTACCTGTAAATAAACTGTGTGTAATGAAAACACTCTTCACTTTACTCTGTGTCTATGTTACTGTGGCTTAATTTGCCCTAGGAATTTGGTAGAGTGTCTCTGGGTTCTATGAGCACATATGAGAGAAGACTTCAGTGTCAGCTTCTGCTGATTTATATAAGATATAGGTGATTTATAAAGGATATCTGTAATAGCCCTTATTTTGCAAAGCAGATGTAGTATATTAGATCAAATTATTTTGACATATCCCAGGGGGCAGAGGAAGAGATCCGAGGACTGTTGAGATGGTAGGTGCCCCCAGATCTGGGCATGCTCTTAAGACTGTTGGCAGAATGATGTCTCCATTATTTGTGGGTGGGACCTCAAAAGTTTAATGTCTCCAGAAATTAAGATGTGTTTCAACCTGCCTATAGCAGTCTGTACTCTCAGATCCTGAAGGACAGGAATGCATGTGTACCATCCTTCCGGCTGCAGTCTAAACCTTGCTTATGAATGAGTGTATGAAGAAACTCAATTTAAATTAAAGGGCTTATTCAATAATTTTATCTTTACACATAAGCAAGAGATACCAGGATTTTAAGAAGGAGTGGTATTAATCACTATAGCAATCCTTTCTAAGGAAGAACAAAAAGGCACTTTTTTATCCATTAGAATACTGTAGCCTTCCTGATTCAGTGTATTCACAGCCATACAAAATTACAGGGTAAGGGCCTGCTTGGGAACAAATTCCCCCTATATTGTCATGCCAACAGTGTTCATGCTGTTCCATTTCACCAACAGATAATAATAGGCATAGATGCCTAGACCCGTGAAAGGAGGTGCCTTCAGTTCTGCTGTTCAGAGTTAGAAGCAGTACAGCAATTCTGACTTCTACAAGGTAGAAGTGTTTCCAGCTTTGAAACACTGTTTTATTTTGTGATGAAATGTATTGACTTAACAAGTATACAATTAAGTGTAGCCATGAGTGTAGCTTACATAGATAATGAGACCATCTTCACCTATGTTACCTAAGGTTTGGTAGGTGTGACATCTGTGAAAGGGGGTCTGAGTCCTTCTGGCTTAGGATGTCACCACCACTGAACTGTTGAGAAGAATCTCCTTGTAGGGAGAAGTCTCCTCCCACTTCTTTATTTTTCTTTTCTGCCAATAACCTCTCTTGTAAACAAACTCCTAGACCAGCTGCTTCAGTGTCACATGTTTTTTTCTTTTCCTATAAAAGTTGTCCCCTGCTTCTTTCAGCCTCAGGAGCCACATGGGTAGCAGTTCTGCTTTAAGGTAAAGGAATTGCTTTCCATGCCTAGATTGCATGGATGTTGTCTAACAGGCTGATGCACAGGAGAGCAACCATATGATGATTTCAAAAGAGATGTGCTTGGCTTTACCAGCTCTGGTTTGCTACTTTACCATACAAAAGAGGTCATTCTCTTAATCAAGTTTTCACAGGGTAAGGGTAGAACAGGCTGGTACAGATGGTGGAAGAAATCAAGGGAAACAAGGAGAGAGGGGAAAAGAAAAAAAAAGGAAAATATTTGTCAGGCTTGACAGTGTTAATGAAAACATAAAGAAAGGAGGAAAGCAGTGTTTGGAGAGCAAAGAGAGACCTGACAAATGTGACCTTTGTTTTTCTCAAGGGCTTCTGACTTTGAAACCAAAGCTGCCTTTAATGTTCACCAGGTGCCATCAGGGTGTTTTGATTGCCTTTATGGAAGGGAATTAGCCTCATAGCTTCAGCATCTGCACTTCAGTGAACTTCAGGGACAGGGTGTATTCTTGTTCAGATCATAACCCTTAAGGTTCAAAGGCCATGAGCAGCTAAATAATTAATTCAGTTACTTCCACAGAAGGCAATGAACACAGACCTATACTTCACACTGGTTTATCACAGGAATTTTTCCAGTCCCTGCTAAACAGCTTCTGCCTGAGCATCTCTGAGCTGCCAACTGGAGCAACTGGAAACCAAGGCAGACACAGCACAGAAGCAAAGCTGGCAGTAAGATTATTCTTCATGCTAAAATAATACTCTGAAGGTTGTATTTTGTCAGCTGAGATTATAGTTCAATTTCTTGGAAGAAGTGAGATGCTATTTTGCTGAAGATATATGGCCCTCCGTCCCCTGTTGTTATATAGGCAAATTGTTGGTACTTATCATCCTCTTTCTGGCTGCTTCATCTCTGCAGGTAATTGTGCCTCTGATATTGCCTAGATGTCTCAGCCTTGTTTGCGACCTGAGAGTGGATTTTAGCTCTTCAGGCAATTGACTTGTCCTGCAGATGGCAGATTTATAGGAATATTGCACACTGCCAATAAAAATAAACAATTGACTGATCAGTGGGGTTTTTACTCCCCCTCCCCCTTTCCTCTGAGAGAACCAAGAGCCAACCATTTCTGGACAGCTTCCCCTCCCCTTGTGAAGCTGAGGGAATTCAAGCAGCTCATCTAATCCCGTGGTGCAGAGGCTGTGTTGCAGCAGGCAGGAAGGTACGATAGGCAACATATCCTCAACAGAAGAGTTTTGCTGGGAGGAGGACCTAGGACTACCCAAGGACCAACTCAGAATCACTGAATTATGGGTCACTGGAGTAGCGGGGTAAGTAAGATTGCCTTGAGAGGTCCTGTCCAGCAATGACTCTTCGATATCTTTGGTTTTCTCTGTATGCTGTAGCAAATACATACTTTAGGAAGAGAATATGATAGTGTCTCTGACACATCTAGTTGAACCACAGGACCTCGTGGGTCCAGATGTGCAACAGGATGACCACTGCTTCATATCATCAGTCACCTTCTGCACCCAATATCTGCTCATTCTCATCACCTCCCATGCCCAGTTATCTGTTTTACAGTCCATTCATTTCAAAGTATAGGACCAGAGTAACTTCAACAAGAGATAAGGGACGGGTTTCAAAGGGCCTGAAAAGTTTTCAAATTTGCAAACAAATGGCTGCAAATGGTCATCATATTTGAAAAGTCATGGCAGTCCAGGGAAGTTGTCACTAGCTGGAAAAGGAGAAACAAAAGGGAAAAAAGGAAGGCCTGAGGAGCTGCAGGACAGTCAGTCTCACCTCAGTGCCTGGCAAGATGGTGGGAAAGATCTTCCTGGAAACTGCTAAGTCATGTGGAAAACAAAGAGGTGTTTGGTAGCAGCCAGCATGGCTTGGCTAGGAGCAAATCATGCCAGACAAATTTGGTGGTCTTTTGTGACGTGCTGGTGGATAAGGGAAGAGCAACTGATGTCACTGATATCTGGACTTGTGCAAAGCATTTCACAATACCACATAGCATCCCCTGAATTGGGGAGGCACAGATCTGACAGATGGATCACTTGGTCAATAACAAAGTTGCTGGACAGTTTCACTCAAAGTGTTGCAATCAATGTCTTGATGTCCAAGCAGAGGACAATGATGGGTGGTGTTCCTCAGGAGTCAGTGGTGTTCCTCTGGGGCCAGCACTGTGTAACATCTTTGTGACATGGACAGTGGGATCAGCAAGTTCACCATCAGCAAGTTTACCGACAACACCAAAATGTACAGTGCAGTAAACACCCTGGAGGGAAGGGATGCCATTCAGAGGGGCCTTGACCAGCTTAAGAGGTAGGCCTTTGCTAACCTCAAAGTTTAACAAAGCTAAGTGTAAGGTCCTGCACCTGGACTGGGACAATCTCAGACACAGGCCAAGTGCTTGAAGAATGGATCAAAAGCAGTCCTGAGGAAAAGGACTTGGGAGTGTTGATTGACAGGAAGCTCAGCATGACCTGGCAGTGTGTGTATGCAGCCCAGAAAGCCAGTTCTTGTTGCATCTGCAGGAGAGTGGACACCACATTAAAGGAGGGGTGAGACCCCACCTGGAGCTCTGCATCCAGCTCTGGGGTTGCCAGTATAAGAATGATAGAGACCTGTTGGAGCTAGTGCAGAGGAGGGACACAAATATGGTCAGAGGGGTGGAACACCTGTGAATACAGTCTGAGACAGTTGGGGTTGTTAAGCCTGGAGAAGGCTCTGGGAAGAACTTAGAGAAGCCTTCTAGTACCGAATGGGAGTCTACAAGAGAGCTGAAGAGGGACTTTGTACAAGGGCCTGTAGTGGTTGGATAGGAGTAAATGGCTTCCAGCTGATGGAGGGTGGGTTTAGAGTAGATATTAAGGAAGAATTTTTTTATGAGGATAATGAGACCGTGGGACAAGCTGGCCAGAGAACTGGTAGTTGCTTCTTCTCTGTCAACATTCATGTTGAATGGCTGTTGGAGCGACCTGGTCTAGTGGAAGGTGTCCTTTCCCATGGCAGGGGTGTTGGAACTGGATGACCTTTAGGGACCCTTACAACCACAACTGTTTTATGATTCTGTGATTTTGAATGCTGATGTGTACCTAAGATCCAAGAGTGCTAGCATTTGCTGAAACTGTACATGATAATGCTGTTTGTTAGTAGTTGCATTTCACGTTGTGGCACAAATTGTGTCTTGTCTTTACCTTTGTGTAAAAGCACTGAATTTATACTGCAGTAGTACTTCTTATTTAAAGAGAAAAATGACTGCATAAATCTGTATTTGAATCCAGAGAGAGCACTTTATTAATTAGTAAATAATGATATGAAGAAATTGAATCATACTGCCTTTTCTTTTCCAATTTTTCTTTGAGGAGTGCCTGCTATGAAAGTGTGTGCACAAACAAATTGTTTCTTCCTGTCTCTAAAAACATGTTGTAAATGTTTAATTTAATTTTAATGACAATGACAGTTTATAAAGGAAAAGTTATTCCAAGGCAATAAGTATAGCAGAAAGATTTTAATTTTATGAGTTTTAAATAAAATAGTAGAAACATATTCTGGTGGCACAATATTAACATGCATATAGATAGATATATATTTTTGTCTTGTTAACATTAAACTCTGTTTGGAAATTTTCTTGAAAATTTCCAATGCAGGTGCAAAATCTAGATGCCTGTTCTTTTGACTTCATGTTAGGATAAAAAGCATGCAGTTGGTGAGTGGGATTTAGCAGTGCTACAAGCATAGCTGCGTGCTTTGGGGCTGATTATAACCACTGTGGAGACTGAAGTGTACTGAAAACCAGAAAATCTCGACAAGCCTTTTAAATGAATTGTTGAAGTCCTCTAAGAGGATTTCTGAATAAAGGTATCTGAATGCATTCACACATGTGTGGGGAAACCTGAGTGCATATGTGCATTCCTGGGCCCTGGAATAATTTCATATAATGCTAGCATAAACTATGCCTGTGTTACTGTAAAGTGCATGGTAGGCTTGGACAGTGCCTACCAAATCCACTCAGAGCTGTTATTAGTGTGAGGACACTGCTGATGGAGAGCAAAGACATTCTTCATTTGCACCAAATAATTTTTAAGGATGCTTCAACATTTGGGACTGAATAATTGAGCCTGGAAGAGAGTGTTTCAAAGTAGATTTGAAAGAATAGGAGCAACTGATCCATCTTGGAAATAATACTGACTTTTTTGTATTTGTTTCTTACACGGTTAAAAATAATTTAGCATTTATGAAGCCATCTCTAGTTTGTGTTCAAGAGGAAGCTGCCTCAATATTTGCAGCTGAAAGGTTCTCCTGCTGCATTCCCAAATTTAACCTTCAGCTTCACTTCCCTGTAGCATAGTTCTGGTTGCATTGTGAAATGAACAACTGATACAATCTTTACTACATTTATTTCTTTCTGCACAAAGAATTTTGTTCCTGTGCTAGAAGAAAACCAATATTTTGAAGTCTTTCCACCTAGGTACAGTTAGAAAAAAAAATAGAAGTCAGAAAAGAATTCTCATTATTTGCATTAAGAAAATATCAAATAATTCAAATACATATATGGCAAAAAAATTTCTGTAATTTTGATCATGCTTCTAAATGATCACCAGTTACTGGTGATGAATCTCTATGTTTGTATGAATGAACAGAGAAAAAGTTACACTCAGATGTCCTGAAGTTAGTGTTCTGGATGTATTTTGTGTAGTTGCTTTTTTAGATGTTACTTGTCTTGCAAATTAGCTCACAAGGTTATAAAGACATAGGCAAACCAATGAATTAATGAGCTTGAGATGCTACACCTACAGATGTGCACCCAATTTTTTCATGTTGTAAAGTGGATATGAAATGGAATCATAGAATGGTTAGGGTTGGAAAGGACCTTAAAGATCATCTAGTCCCAACCCACTTTTCACTAAACCAGGTTGCTCAGGTTGTCCAGCCTCTCCTTGAACACTTCTGTAGGCATCAACAGCTTCTCTGGGCAACCTTTACCAGCACCTCACCATCCTCACAGCAAATAATTTCTTCCTAATACCTAATTAAACCTGCCCTCTTTCAGTTTGAAATCATTGTCCTCTGTCCTGTCACTGTCTGCCTATACATAAAGTCCCTCTCCCTCCTTTTTATAAGCCCCATTAAGGTATTGGGAGGCTGCAAAAAGATCTCTTCTCTGGGTTGGACAACCCCAACTCTCAGCCTTTCCTCGTAGGAGAGGTGTTCCAGCCCTCTGATCACATGGCAGTTCACCAGTATGAACTGCCAATGAGTGTTAGAGTAGACCAAGTTCACACCTTCAATTATGTTGTGTCTTTGAGATATTGTGGATTTAACATATTTAATATATGTAAAACACTACATTCGAAGAGATCTGTGGTGATTTTCTTTGTATGTATCTGATAGGAAAACCTTTCTGCAAACAAAAGGTCTTTTTTTCCTTGTTGTCCAGAAACCCATAAATAAAAAACAAAATGAAAGAGGGTGTTAATAATTATTATTTATGTTTGCTCTATGTACCTGGTTTGTTGAAATAGCCAGTTTACTGCTAGTGACAACCTGCTCCCTGGCCAGTAATTCCATCTACAGTCTTACATGTGAAAAAAAAAGATACTGGGTTAGGTGTAATTCAACTTTCTGGAGGAGCTGTTAATTTTTTCAGTTGTTTCATTTTGGTAGCTGCTTCCTTTGAAAATTCTTTTAAGATTAGTAGGACATTAAGACCCATAGAAATGAAAATGCATTTGATGACAAAAGAACAGAGACATGGTACTGCAGTGCTTGCAGCAAAGACAGCTGATGTGGGAGATGACAGAGCTCTTGGGGAGATATCTATGCTAGAATTGCTGCATTCCAGGTGCAGCAGCTCAAGAAAATAAATCTCTGGACCATCCCTTTAACAAAAAAAAAAAAAAAATGTGGTGTTGAAGCACAGTGTGATTTTTTTTAACTTGACTATTGACCTCAGAGTTCCTAAGGAAAGGAGAATAAAAAAGGTTGGATTGTGAAGTACTGTCACACCTTTGGCTACAGCGTGCAGGTAGGTGTAAATGTAATAATGCTGTAGACATATGAAAAAGAGGCAGAGTAGATGGGTACATCTGCTGACAATCTTTCTTTTTAATTTGGAGCCACCTGAAGGCAATAAGTAGCTGGATAATAACTCGATCCCCATATGGCTTCCGGACTTTCAGATTAATAGTGTGCAGCAGGGGAAGGGAAAAAGGAGTCTACTTTTAACTCTGGCTTCTGTTTGCCTTTTTGTGAGCCCGAGAACATTTCCTGTCTGCTTGGTGATGGAAAATGTAACCAAAACAGGCATCAATGAGTGACATTTCTCATGGCTGGCTTTTGACACTGAATTTTCTGTATCACTTCAGAGATGCTGCAACATGCATGAAGGGGAAAGGAGTCCAGCTCTTTACCATGCTTTGCATTTAACTCACTGCAGTATTTCACCTTGTTGGTTTCTGAGTATATATTGCATTGTATCTAAAATACATTTCCTAGTTATAGTTCCTTAGAGTCCAGTATTGAAAGCAGCAGGTGAATATTGTCCAATAAAATACACTTACTTCTGTGAGAGGCGTATGTATTTTGAAATAAGGAGTTTTCCTTTGGTCTAGAATTTATATATATAATCTCTTAGTTTACACATTTTTGCTTTTGTAGCTTCCCATACTTTCCTTCCTGTCTGTGTTCTCATATTTCCTTTCTAAATTATAGATATGAGGGCACAAGCATTTTCCTTGAAAAGGGCTTCACTTTTGGGGATAATCTATGGCCATTTTAAGAAAAGTCAACAGTTCACAAGGGTGTTGTCGAACACGGGATTATATGAAATAGGACTTTAGGAAAAATAAAGCAAAATGAAAAGCCCTCAGAACCCTGCAATCTTGAGATGGATAGTATG